AGTTTCAATGTGGCTGCATGTTCTATAGCAGAGAATATCTGTGCAGAATAGATACATTATTTATATAAATATAGCTTTGGTAAATGCTGGGGCAGAACTGTCAATGTTATAGGCCTATGTAACATCCTAGGCAGTGTCCACAGCAGAACAGCTACTCCAGTCCTTTCATTATTTCTGATGGGGGCTGTCCCCACACCTACTAGTATTGCTCAGTACGAAAATACTACAAATATTACATCTGCTAACTGAATATTAGGAGACCTGGTGTGTATACATATTGAATTTTTAAAAACCCCATATCATTCCCTAAGCCTGGGATTGTTTGTATACCCTTAGAATTAAAAAATAAAAATTAAAATTTAAAAAGTGCTTGTTCATATTTTGGGGATATTGGTGGTTCAGATGGTAGGGAGAGAAAACCAAAAAGAAGAAATCTAAAGAAAGAACTCTTCTTTCTTCTTAATTTTTCTATGCATCTGCTATTGACTTTGACAGATATTACCAGGCCAATCCACTATAACACAGGAAAAGGTTGCTGTTTACACTTTGTCCTGTTCATTGCCTTTCACATACTAAGTTATTTTGTTTAAGCACATTAAAAACAAGAACTGAAAGGTGAGACACACACTTCTTTTGGTGCTAAAGAAATTTACAATGCTAACAGCTTTAAAAACAAAATACCTCTCCTTCCAAACTCAGTATGTATTCATGTCAAATACATTGGCATCCTGAAGCCCTTATGACCTTGTTTAAGCACCTACTCTGCCTTTAACTTTGAGCCCACATGAGTCAGCTAGAACAGGGCGGTTGCTAGCATGTTTATGGATTCACCGGTGCGTGACCAAGCAGTGAAAACATGCTTAATTACTCATTTTTAAATTACCTCTTTTTTTTTTTTTGTTATGCATTGGTTTATGCAGCCAGTTATTGCAGTAGTTATTAGATGTAGTTATTAGATGTAGTTTACACAGACAACAAAACCAGTACTCTCTGAATGAGAACATGTTATTATACTTTCCTCTTCTCTTACTCTGTGGAAAGTTCAAGAAATGCAAATCTTCCTTACACTGGCCAAAAGCTCCAACAATCACCTCCACCACCACCCAACAACCTGTAATAAAAGGCTACAGATAATACTTTTGTCGTGTCTCTTGTACATTACATGCAAATTAATTCTACCCTTGTCCACATTTGGCTGAGGCCAATTAAGTTTTTTCATATCCATGCTGCCTGATACATTGGGTGGTCTTTTTCTTTAAAATTCAAAAATAGGGGAAAAAAATTCTTTAGTATGGCTAAACCTGGCTTCTTGTATAGCCCCAGCTGCTACAACAGCCTGTAAGCTGCTGAAGACTCATCAACTTTTTCAAGACATCTGTGTGGCTTAATAAGGCTACACAGAATCCTCATTATACTGAAGCTCATGGCCTTCACCTTGCAAAGCAGTACTGGCTTTCCCATCAAAGATAAATTGGAAATAGCCACATTACAGTTGTTACAGGACCTTGATGTGTCCTGTCCTTCCCACCTCCTGCTGTCTCTGTACCTATGCTCCTGGCTCTTGGGCTAGTAGGCCTTGCAGGGTCCCTTTGTGTTACAGGTGGAATAACAATGTTGTCTATATATAATTAACTGATCAAACCCTAGATCAAGGGGTTTGTACTTTCTGCCACAAATGCTTACTACTATTTGGCCATCAATGCTGATTTGAAAGAAGAAGCACCGTTAAAACAGTGGTGACAACGTTTTTGAAAAGTACAAGGAAATGTTTGCATATTTTTTTTTCCCTGTTAATAACTACATGCTATACTTGTCATCTTACAAGCAACACTAAAAGACAGTCACATTGAGGCCTTAAAAATTGTATTTAGACTCTGAATATCTTCTTTTCTTTACATCTTAACTTTTGCTGTGCTTGGGACTTGGCACCCAAACAACATCCTATCAGAGGACAGTTTTATCCTTTAATCTTAGTGCTCATGGGCTTCATGAGATAAATTAAAATAATAGCCACAAGATAGAGAGACAGCAGACTTCCTGGCTTTGTGGAAGCATGGGTGTGGGTGCGAGGAGGGGCCAGGATCACATGCCTGCTTCAGCACTCAGAGAGGTTTGTGCAGTGTACTGTCAGCACACCACTAGTATAACTAGCAGGAACGGCTGCTTTTTGGTCAAACCAGGAGGAAATATTCCTCCATGTGCTAGTCTGTAAAAGTCACATAGTTTCTTTTTCTTCATGTCTTTCTTCACCCCACCCCCACACAAAATAATGACCACCTTCTTGTGATGACTCTGTATCAAACACATACATGCCCCCATATATATATGCATGGATATATCCACACACACATATATATAGGTGTGTATGTGTGGCCATGCATATATGCAGACACACATACAGACACTCTCTCTCTCTCTCTCTCTCCCTCTCTCTCGTGTTACCAAAAAAAAGAGAAATTGTTTTGAATTGTTTTGCCTATACTAATTGTGCATGCAGTTAATGAAAAAGCTGAATTTCTTTTTTTCTTTTCCCACCTCACTCCCCTTTTGCTGTCTTTTGAAAGACGACTGCTGACGAAGAAGTCCTGAACACAACTGAGGACTAAGAATTATTAATAAAGATATAAAACTTATTTCTACACCACTCATCATGTGGTCTGTCAGCTGTCACTTAAGCCACTTTCTCAGACACTTCCCTTGATGTAGCTTCATATATCCAAATATTGGTGGTGGCTTTGTAGTTGTTAATGGCTGAATGTCAAAGATCTCCAAACAGGTTTTCTACATGTTCCTTCATCTAATTGCCAGAAGTCAGTTCTGCATCTTTGATCATCAAAAAGAGGAGTGAGAAAAGATTATTGATTGCTCTTAGTTTTTCTATAAATGGGAAATGCAAAACAGTAATTATGCCTGTGTCTCTCTGCCTTGCTTGCTCTCTACAGGTATTGTTCTGTCTATCTGTTGTTACATATGGAACTATCTGTTCTGGGAGAGAGCGTAAGTGTATCAAATCTTTATGTACAGTTAGCAGCATGATATTTTTGGGTGTGACAGTTAAACTGGACAGAGACATGCACAAACCTTAGCTGTGTAGGAGTGCTATATTTGATTCATTAGTATGCTTTATCCAGTGAATGCTCACTTCTGAAGGAAGGGCACTCAGAAATGGCACTGTATATAATAAAGTATGATAGAATGTCCCATGCTCTACACCAGCCTTCTAAGGAAAAAAAAAAAAAAAAAAAAATATGCTTGGTGAAGTTGAACACAAATTTCAAAAATTCTCCCATAGTCAGGACCAGCTTTTTTCACTCTGGTTATAATATGAATGCAGTTCATAAATGAAAAAGGAGCACTGACTTCAAAGAAAAGGCTTCACATGACCCAGCGCAGAAACTGGATGTAGATTATAATATGTCGCTAGCTGAAGCAGCATAGATTGGAAGAACGCACCAGACTCACCTTCTGTTTTGGGGACTGTGAAATGGATTAAACATCGTCTAAATAATAATGAAAAACTGCATAAATTGTTTTGTTACTTTGTAGGAGAGTGAAATATTTTAAATAATCCAATTTTACAGATACTGTATTAACAATTCTTGTTACTGTCTTTAAATAGCTAGTCTACAAAATGTAACAACAAAGTAGTCACAGTCCAAGAATTCACTCCAGAATAAAGCCTCATAGGTGTTAGTATGGTTATATTTGTACTGCAGCCAGTGGACAAACATTAAAGCTGAGATAGTTTAGTTTAAATGTTGGATTATATAGTGGACATAATTGTTTTCACAGTAAATTAATTTGCTTTGTATTTGTTTGATTCACTGATATTTCTCTAATGATAAAAGTACCACAGTATGTTTTATTGTGGTGTTTAACAATTCTGCAAAATTACAAAGCCTAAAGTTAAATTGCACAATGAAAATTTTCTGATGACTTTCTGATGACTGGGTCCTATATTTTTGTTTTAATCCTTATTAGCACAGCCTTTTCCTTTTTTAATTTTTATTTTCCTTTATACAATTGTATCAGATGTTGCTAATTTGAGATAGAGTTACTAAATCATTTAGAACATCAAATGCTTTGGTGGATAGATATGCAACATCACATTTTTGTCTGATGGCTCTAAAGCTTGTTAGCAACTTTGTGAAATTGTTAACACAAAAGGCACCCATCAAAGGCCTTTTGTGAGTTATCATAATAAATACATTCATTACTTTTATTTTGATTTGGTTATTACTGTACTTTTATGTGTGGTGTCCCAGCAAATACAAAATAAACTAAAGAAAAAAAAAAAAGCAACTGCTAAAATAAGATGTTGTTTGGTACAGGAATTAACTGAGAACAACATGTTGTGAGATTATAGAGCTGAGGCTAAAGCATTTTTTATCCTGATCTGAACTCACTGGAAGGAGATTCAGTATGCCTTTTACCAAGGTATGAGCTATCACCAAAGTGCGAAGATCTGGAGCTAAACCTCTGTACATACTAGGAAGAATCTGAACCAAATAAACAAGACTGATGCATGGCCATCAGCACTGATGAAGTAAAAACCAAACAAAATATGGTAGATGAGAAGGTTTATAACTTAAGATTTCATGCACTATTTATGCACTCTGGATTAAAGCACTGTAATACATGGCAAAAGAAGAGGCATTACCAAGCTTGCCTTTCTGAAACTAGCAACTGCTGATGGCTAATGGGAAGTGGAGTGAAATTGCCAGATTTGTCATTTATAGCAAGTGCTGCCTGCGAGCACCTTATCTGCACAGCCCTTGGTTTAGGGTAGTGATACTCACTAAACCAGTGTTGCAGAAGGTTAGCAAGGATGCTGGGCTTCTCTGTGTGTGTGTGTGTGAGCACACATGCATGCTTGGGGGGTGCACACAGTGTGTGTGTGTGTGTTACTGGACCTTAACACAACTGGCAATTAAGATGATCTGTATATGGTAATAAAACAATGAATATTTCAGAACAACGTTACATGTACAAAAATATGACTTTCAAGTTTGAAAATAAATAAGTTCAGTTTATTAAGAGCTGGTGTCAATGCTGAACAAAATACACATCCTCCAGTAAAGAAACATTTTGGTGAACTGTTTTTTTTTTCTTTTTTTTTTTTTTTTGATTTACTAAAATACAAGTTGGACTTTTTTTTTTTTTCCTTTTTGTAAATATATCATTTGTCTCCCTTAATTACATATCTTTATAACTGTGACCATCATTCTCCTTTAAGCCAAAGACTGAGGTTTGTTTATTTTAAATTCTTAGGAGTCTGGCCACATATGCAGGGTTTTTTTTTAAGGGAAAATACTTGACAATGAAAAAAAAGAAAAATAGATATTTTTTCTAATAAATAAAAATAATTTAAAATGCTAGAGGCTATACATGACTAGTTTTGATTATGTTCATTTATAAATTAAATAGTTTCCAAAATACATGGAAGCAGTATTGAAGGCAGACAAACAAAGATCTGTCTACTTTCTTTTCCCATTAAGCTTGCCCTTCTTAACTTCTCCATCAGTGGTTCAGCATGTAAGAGGAATAAATGTCACATCACCATTCATGAAGTTTGTCAGGCTTTAGAAAAATAGTTCTGGCCTCGAAGGAGTCAACATTCATCTTCAACTTCTCTGATTGGTGGTATCAAGCTGCTTGTTGATTTGTATTGATTGATCTGATTGGCCATGTGAGTGCTCATGGGCTTGATTTGAATGTTTCTGGGATAGGCATTATCCGGCTCATCTGTAAACCATTTCTTTTCTGCTAAGGAGCAAAATGGGTAGAGACAGAATAAGGAGGGAAAATTAGAGTTTTAATTAGTGAAGCACATATACAAATAAACATTAAAAAAAATGAGGGGGGAGCAGTCAATAAAGTTTATAGAAAAAAGGCAATCAATAGAAGGTGGCTTTGACTAATTAGTAGCAGTGCATCATGTTAAATGAATACCTCTGAAAATACTTTTCATGAAAGGAGGATGACATGTTTGCAGATTTGATAGTATAAGCTAAAGAAAACTTGATATACTGGTTTGCTTGTTGAATGTAAGAGAGCTCTTTTTTCTTCATGCTCAGGTGAACACCCTCTGATTCATTTACTGAAAAAATGATACAAATAAAAGGCTGAACTGAAAATCCAGGGAGAGCAGATGGGATAAGGGTAATAGAGAAAAGAGCATGTGAGTCCATATTCAGCCTCGGTGTGGTCACTAGCACTGGCTCAGAAATGATGCAGGAGAATGTAAAGAACTTCTGCAGTTGGTGCTAGAATAAATAGGGCTTGCATTCATGCTGCCAGATGGCTGCATTCCTGCACGGGATGGCCATTATATTGCTATTTAGCAACCTGGCTGTTTGGGAGCTGCTGAACTCTCTAGTTTGGGAAGGAGTATGGAACATACCTGAGGCTGCAGATGACTGTAGTAGGGGCTCAATTAATACTGAATGGCTTGATAGGGATATGTGACAGCAAGGCAAAAGGCTTAAAGGAAGATTACTAGGGAAGCTGTTCCTTTTATATCTTCAGGCAGTGTTTCCATGAACAGAAGAATTTTATGGTACTGATTTAAGGTGGGCTGGGAGCAATGTGGGAGAGTGAGGATGCTGAGAGGCTGTAGCATTGCAGCCATTCACTAGCTGATGATGATTGTAACCACTATATTGCATAGTTCATCTGTGGACAAACACTTCTCAAAATTCACTAAAAAAAATCTTAAGGTCTTTAGAGAGCAATTGCTACTATAATTTCTTAATGACAGGTGTGCAACTTTACAAGATAGGTCTATTCAAAGACTTAGAAACTGCAAGTCTCTGAGTGGCTTATGGCCATTAGGTGTTTGTGCTTTGACAAGCATCTGTGAACATGGGGTCTCCACTCTCAAGCCTCCTTCCCCAAATTCCAGAGGTGGGTTTGCAGAGCAGTGGGCACAGATGATTCTGGGGATGGGATTCTGCAACTGGGACATTTTCATTATTACATGCAAGGTTTAATGTGTGCCACATCAGAGCTGCTCTTCTTACATGTATGAGATGTACAATATCATTTCAAAGGGGAACCCAAAATGCTTCAGAAGCTTTAGTGTCTCACATAAATACAAACTGCCACTTTTTTTTTTTTTTTTTTTTTTTTTAACCACTGAAATGCTGATGCATTTGGGCTGGAATCAGGGCAGGATTGGAAGGAGTGCTCATTTTAAGTAAATAAAAAAATAAAAGTAAGCAAAGCAAAATCCACCTCGGAAACCCAAGGACTGAGCATAAAAGCTGGAAGACCAGGAAGAATAAAGGACAAATATCTGGGCATAAATGCATAAAAATAAGCAACCGGCTTTGAAGTTAGGCCTCTAAAGAAGTGGATTGATTTCCAGAATTACCGGACTGCTCAGTCACTTTTGTGAATATGAAATTTAGACACTTATACTTGATATGGATTTTAAGCATCTACATGCAACACTCCCACTCCCCAACAACAAACTGCAAACGCATGAGGGTTTAATCCATCTCTTTTTTTTCAGATGTATTTGTTATCTGTGCTTATGCTTTTTAGAAAATTTAAATTGAAAAAAGGGCTTGTATTAATTGTTAGTGGCTTATTAATGAAGGTAAACAGAACTACTGCATTATTTTTCTCGTAATTTTCTAAAATTTATTTTACTTCTTTTTAAAATACCCTACTCATTTCTAATCAGGGCAAATATTTCCCTGCCCCCTTAAAGTTGCCAGAGTCTCAACAATGTTCAGTCTCCCATCTCTCTCTCTCTTACCTATTATAATTAAGTTCCCTTTGATTTGAACAGATTGGACGATAGGAATTCATAATGTTACATCCTGCACACTGAAGCTAACTGATTAAGTGCTTTAAATTATTCTTCCTGACAGAATGATAAAGTTACAATCTGTTCAGAGATGATCTACAGCTTGCCAGGCTCCTACTGCTTCTTTCTACATTCATTTATCTTTTTGTCAAGCAGTTAAAAAAAAAAAAAAAAAAAAAGATCTTTTAAAGTCATCAGAACATCTGAATTATTAATGAGACTTTAAGGGAATGGTTCCTGATGGGGGCTGGTTTAAGAAAGGTTGTAGAAAAAAAAAAAATCTGGGAATGTGTACACATCAAAATAATTTCAGCTCCATTTAAAAAACCATTTAGTTCAAGTGTGACACATGAACCATTATGCATTTGTGGAAACCAATTTTATGTGATCTACGATTAAACTAACCTTTCAGAGAGGTGTAAAGTGTGATGGTTATCATGTTTTAAAAGCCTTGCAAGATCACATAAACAATTTCAAACTAACAGTTTTTTAATGGTTTGTGTTTAAAATGATTTTGAGGCAAGTTAAGCACTGTGAATTTTTATCTCTACCTTCTTTTTTAACATAAGGTGCACAAACTTTCCTTACAAACAGATCTTGGTACAACTTCATTCAACCTCATAGCAAAAAAGGGGAGAACTGTGAGAGTGCTTAGGATCAGAGATGAACTGCACTGTGCTTCTCAACAGCCAGTGTAAAGCATTTCCATCTCCATTGCTTTCCCTGGAATTTTCAAAACAAGGCAATTATTTAGATATTAATCTTTACAATAAAACTCCTATCCAGGGAGCTTATCTTTAAAAAATGCACCATCAAGTCTCTTTTTGCCTTTACCTGGCAAGTAATAAATGCAGAAAATAAATAATAAATGCAGAAAGTGGTAGATTCTGATTTCTTTTTGCCAGTGCTGGAATCTTGATCCAGGCATTATTATCTCCAGCATCAAATGCTTGGACCCAGCTTTTTACCTTTCCTTTTCTTTTCTGCTGTTAAAATTGTCTTTGACCACATAATGATGAATCTCCCGTGAAAGTCCATCGACCTCTATACTTACCTTTGAAATGTGAGCTTGACACTTGTCATCTTTACTCTTGGGCACTAAGGTTCTGCTCCAAGTTACTAAATGTCCTTGAATCCCTTACACACTTATCAATCTTTTTGTTATGCTCTCAGTATCACTCTGATATATCTTTCAAAGTCTTAGCATGAATTTTAACATATCTTAAACAACTTACTCTTTCCTTTAAATCACTCCAGAAAACCCTTTTAAAAGTCTTTATATATTGTTACATTAACCAACTGTTTTTTAGCTATCTGTTATGTTCAGTCTGTTTCTCTTCCTTTTGGCATATGCATACTAAGCCTTACCATATGTGTTTCTGTGTTACAATGAGAACAGGCATAGTTTCCTATTTTATTTTTGTAAGAGCTCAAGAGAATCCCCGATCTTCCTACACTGTTTGATGGGGGTTTTTTTTTGAAGCATAACTTGAGAGATGTTGGAACAGCTCAGTAACTTCATGTATCAGAAAGCAGAAATAATTTACTTTCCTCTCAAACACCTGCATTTGCAATGGTCTATCAGCATCCTAGAGGGTCCATGAAGTTCTAAAGGCTTCATGCTCTTATAACAAATAAATAAAAATTAACATCTTGTGTAAGATGGTTCCCTGCAGCATAAAAAATAAATAATTGAAGTAAAATGATTAAAATACAGATTTCTTCAGTTGGTGTGAAACTCAAGCAATTCTCTGTCAGATTTGTTGTTCTGGTGCTCTAAAATTTCTGTCATTACCTCTGGACAGAGTAATCACATTTGAATAAATGTCACTGAAACACCCTCTCTTCTGAGCAGAGGCAAAGAAAGCACTAGTTAAACATGACACAAAGATTTACTAAATCTCTACTCCCACCATAGTCCCAGGTTACCTTACAATTGTTTTAAACATGCTTTACTTTTCCTTTTGTGACACTTGTAGTTTTAAATGAATCTGTGTGTGTTTGTGTGTCGTTCCTCCCCCCCCC